TTTCTGAATCAACAGGATAGCAGTGAGAAAACATAAATTATATTGTCATTTTGCCTTTGATAATTGGATATTTGGGAAGCACTTATTGTTTGAGAAAAATCTTGACTTGGAGTTACCAATAGAGTGAATATCGTAAAATTCTTCCATGAGTCACCCAAGCATTGGTAAAGAACACTAGATCATTAAGTTCATTGTCTCGTTTCTTTCAGCTGTTGTGTAAATGCTCAGCGATTCAAACCTTTTGCACATAAATATTGAAAGATTTTAACAACTACATTCTTGATGGTTTTTCTAGAGTCTGCTTCATAAAATGGAACACAAATACTTTCAACAGTATTATACAGTGGAATGAAGCAATAATGGAAATATCTGTCCCTTGTTTTAAATTTCAAATGAATTGCAATAAATTCAGATTTTTGACCTGCCATAGCTGGAGCAGTGTCTGTCATAATAGAAACTAGTTTTTTCATATATAACTGAATTCTTTGACAAATGGAAACTATGAAAAAATATTTACACCATAATTTCTAATTTTTAGGCCATCAATTGACATTTGTTTATAAATTTGGAATTCCTCTGAAATTAAAGAATTCAAACTATTAATTGTCCAGTGAGTGTCTCTTAACCACACAACTCATCAAAAACCAAAGAAAAGTACTTGCAAGTTTTCAAGTTTTAAATTAAAGGATACTTTATAATTTTTTTTTTTTTTGAGACAAAGTTTCGCTCGTGTTGCCCAGGCTGGAGCGCAATGGTGCAATCTTGGCTCCTGAGTTCAGGCACCTGGGTTCAGTCTCAACCTCTGCCTCCCGGGTTGAAGCGATTCTTCTGCATCAGCCTCCCAAGTAGCAGGGATTACAGGCACCCACCACCAAGCCTGGCTAATTTTTGTATTTTTAGTAGAGACAGGGTTTCACCATGTTGTCAGGCTGGTCTTGAACTCCTGACCTCAGGTGATCCACGTGCCTCGGCCTCCCAAAGTGCTGGGATTACAGGCATGAGTCACCGTGCCTGGCCCAGGATCTTTAATAATATTAGAAAGGCCTTGTACTCTGTGGGCAATAGTTTGGCTTAATTGAAAATTTGCACTTTTTGTAAAATATCTTTCTTAGTTTGTTCTTTATATTGCTCTAACAAAATTTCCATAAATGAAATAAAAATGTAACATCCTTTTGGATAAAAAGGGAACCCGGGAGGCGGAGCTTGCAGTGAGCCGAGATCGCGCCACTGCACTCCAGCCTGGGCGACAGAGCAAGACTCCGCCTCAAAAAAAAAAAAAAAAAAAAAAAAAATTATTTTTCTTTTTTATGCAAGAATCCAAATTGTTTTACAGCTGGCCATAATTGTTTAAAAATTTGAGGGGTAGGATGGATTTTCAAAATTTATGGTAAAATACCCATAACACAAAATTTACCATTTGTGCCATCTTAAGGTACACAATTCCTTGGCATTAAGCACCTTCACAGTGTTGTGTAGCTATCACCATTATCTAGTTTCCGAACTTCCTATTGTCCCAAAAGGAAGCCTCCTATACATTAGGCAGTCACTCCCCATCCCCCCCGGCTCCTGGAAACCAGAATCTGCCTTCTCTATGGAATTGCCTCCTCTGGATGCATCATACAGTATGTGGCCTTTTGTGATTGGTGTCTTTACTTAGCAGAATATTTTCAAGTTCCATCCACGTCAGTACTCCATGCCTCTTTATGGTTGAATAGTATTTAGTTGTGTGGATATGCCACATTTTGTTTATCCATTCATCTGCTCACGGACATTTGAACTGTTAGAGCTGCTGTGAACATTCATGTACATGTTTTGTTTGAATACTTGTTTCCAGCTCTTTGGGGTGTATACCTACAAGCGAAATTCTGGGACATATTGTAATTCTGTGTTGAGAAACCACCAAACTGCTTTCCACAACAACTGTACCATTTTACATTTCCACTAGCAATATGTGAGGGTTCCAGTTTCTTCACATCCATCCAATACTTTTTATTTTGTTTTCTTAATTTTTTATTATTATTACTATTGCCATCCTAGTGGTATGCAATGATGTCACAGTATGGTTTTATGTGCTTATTGACCTTTCGTGTATCTTCTTTGGAGAAATCGATAGTCAAGTTTTTGCCTATTTTCTAATTGGGTTTTTGTTGTTGAGTTGTAAGAGTTATTTGTGTATTTTGGATACTAATCCTTATCAGATATATAATTTCCAGACATTTTCTCCCATTCTGTAGGTTTTCTTTGAACTCTCTTAGTAATGTCCTTTAATACATAAAAGTTTTCAATGTTGATGAAGTCCACTTTTTCTGTTGTTTTCTTGCTGTGCTTTTGGTATCATGCATAAGAACATAAGAAATCCAACAGAGCCTAATAGACTTGTTGTGGCTGACAGTACAAGTACACAGGAAATCCAAAGGTCATGAATATTTGCTCATATGTTTTTTCAGAAGAGTTTTACGGTTTTAGCTCTTACGTTTAGGTCATTGATTCATTCTGAGTAATTTTTAATATGTTGTGAGGTAGGGGTCCAGCTGTATGATTTTACATATGGACATCTAGTCATGACAGCACCAATCGTTAAAAAGACTATTCTTTCCCTATTGAATGTCCTTGGCACCCTTGTCAAGAATCAAATGGCCATAGATGTGTAGGTTTAATTCTGGACTCTCAGTTCTATGCCGTTGATCTATATGCAGTGCCACACTATTTGGTAGTCTGTAGTAAGTTCGAAATTGAGATGGTAAGTTCTTCAGCTTTGTTCTTTTTAAGATTGTTTTGGCCGTTCAGGATCCCTCGTAATTCCGCATGACTTCAGGATCATCATTTTGGCACTCCCTGATGCGTTTGCTGGTGCACTTGGCGGAATTCCACAAGTCTCTTAGGCTCTTGGGCTCTCCTCGTTTTCCTTCATTCTTTGTTTTCTTTCTGCTCCTCAGACTGGATAATTTCATTTGACCTCGCCACAAGTTCACAGATGACTTATTTTGCCTGCTCAAATCCAGACCGTGTGCGGTGGCTCACGCCTGTAATCCCAGCACTTTGGGAGGCCAAGGCAGGTGGATCACATATGGTCAGAGGTTTGAGACCGGCCTAGCCAATATTGTGAAACCCCATCTCTACTAAAAATACAAAAATTAGCTGGGCGTGGTGGCAGGTGCCTGTAATCCCAGCTACTCAGAAGGCTGAGGCAGGAGAATCACTTGAATCAGGGAGGCAGAGGTTGCAGTGAGCCGAGATTGCACCATTGCACTCCAGCCTGGGTGACAGAATGAGATTTCATCTCAAAAAAAGAAAAAAAAGAAAAAAAAAAAACTGCTTTGGCCTCCCCCAGTGAATCTTTTAGTTCAATTGTGCATTTCAGCTCCAAAATTTCTACATGGTTACTTTTTGTAATTTCTGTCTATCAATATTGTATATGTGTTGAGATATTGTTCTCATGGTTTCCTTTATTTGTCCATGGTTTTTTGTTTTAGGTTTTGTATTGTTTTGTTTTGTTTTTTTGGTTATTTTTGGGGGTTTTTTTTTTTTTTTGGTGGTTTTTTTGTGAGTTTTGTTTGTTTTTTTTTTTTTTGCTTTTTAAGCATATTTAAGACACTTTATTTAAAGTTGTTGCCTACGACCTTAAGTCAGAAACTTAAGGTAAATCTATTTCATGTGATGCCTCAGGGATAATTTTTGTTGATTCATTTTCTTTCTCCTATAAATGGGTCATATTTTCTCTCTCTCTCTCTTTTTTTTTTTTTTTTTTTTTGCTTTATATTTTTTGTTGAAACTGGGCATTTTGAATATTCTGATGTGATGACTCTGGAATCACATTCTCCTCCCTCTAGGATTTGTTGTTTCTTGCTGCAGGTTGTAGTTGTTTATTTAGGGATTTTCTAAGCTATTTTTATAAAGAGTCTTGGTCTTTAGTGGTCTCTGAAGACTCTATATACTTTTAGCTCAGTCATCAGCTAGTTATTTGACAGAGATTTCCACAAACACCTGGAGTCAAAGAGATAAAAAACTGAAAGAAAAGAAAAAGTGCCCTCTCTAGGCCTTTGTAGGCTGGCTCTGTGTTGGGAGCACTCCTTCAATGCTTAACCAGCCTGTTTGCAGCTCTGCCTTAGCCCTCGCTGCCTGCTTGTGCTGAGCCTAAAGAGCAGCCTGAGATAACAGCTTGTGGGATTCTCTGGTCCTTTCTGCCCTGAACGTGCACCTGGATTTCTAGGTTCCCCACTTCATGTGAGAGCTTCTTGAAGCCCTTATTCTCCAAGATTCTCACTCCCCAGCTTTTCCTCTCAGGCTATCAGAGGGCCTGTTTTTTGCCTCCACTGCCAAGTATTTCCTGAGGTGGCAGGAGCTTATACATTCAGCTTCCAGCATGTCTGCAAAACCACTTCTCAGCCTGAGGATTCTGAGTCTTTTGCCCAGAACCCACAGAAAGATCAAAACAAACACAATTCCTTGGGTTTATGAAATTCCTCCAGGACCAAGTACCTACAATAGTAACATGGGCTTCTGTCTTCAAAATGACCACCATGTTGGGGTGGGGTGGACAAAAGGTGAACTAAATACAGCATGCTGTCTGCCTGTTCAGGGCCTTTCCCTCCAGCTAAGGGTTCACTTGGTTGCCATAAGCCTTTGAGTATCTTTGTTGTTGTTGTTGCTGTTTCTTGACTGGTCCCTACACCACCATTTTCACTGACCTCCTTTGTTGGGATTTTAACAGTTTTTTAATTGTTGATAGGAAACTTGTTATCAAATTCAATATGTATTTGCTAAAAACATTTCTTCATCTCATCCACTTTTATTATCTCAAAAAAATTCTTAACAGAGCTTCTTCATTTTTCTCTGCCACAGCAAATTGCAGTTGCCATTCATGGTGAAATCTGCTTCATGCCCTCAACTCTTATTTTTCTGTGCTTCTCTGATCATAGTATGAGTTTCTCATCTCTGTCTGCTTCTCTCTCCTTCTCCTTCCCCTACCAATTCCTCTCTCCCCCACTCCCCCACCTCAGGAAGCTGCACTGCACCAGGAATTACATCCATCTGAACCTGTTCCTGTCCTTCATCCTGAGAGCCATCTCAGTGCTGGTCAAGGACGACGTTCTCTACTCCAGTTCGGGCACGTTGCACTGTCCCAACCAGCCGTCCTCCTGGGTAAGGCTGTCCCCGCCACAGGGTCCCACTGTCTTGTCCCTTTGTCTCTGTTCCCCCTTCTCACGATGAGGACGTCTCAGTGCTGGTGCAGGGTCCCTGGCTGAGAAACAGAGAGTCTGGCAGATAGGCTGGGGCCAGAGCAGGCCCAGTTGGCGCTGAGACATGGGGATGGCACTGAGGCAGGGAGGGTGGGAGTCCCAGGCACCGTCAGGGCTGGGAAGTGAAAGGGCCCTGAGCTCTGACCCCCATGGAGCTAGACTGAGGAAAGGCACACCCTTCCTCATACACATCTGGGTTGAGAAATCTTGGTACAGATGAACACACACAACTCTGTTGCTTTCTATCTGAATCTCCTAGATTCTGAGCAGTAAAGACTTCCTTCCAGATTGCTGGAAGAACTTGATCTGTGCTATGGGTAAATTCCATGCAAAGCCTGATTGTGAACCCAGTTGCGTGTCTGTGAATATCTTGGGTCCAACTCTTTGATTTGAGGATAATCTTAATTATTAGTTCCTACAAATGCAGTACAGGATGTTTCACTCCACCTACGCCCTTCTCCCTCGGCTGTATTTGTGGTGGTTATTGGTGGTTATCTAGCACCTAATCAAGTCAGTTTAACATAGCAAGTGCTGTTGAGTGCCTCCTACATGCAGGCCGTTCTACCAAGCACATCCCTGCTGGCCCAGAGCACTCCACATGCTCAGTATCTTTAGGAAGGATTCATGCCCCAGGTACCTCACTCTCAACCCGACACCCTCCCTACCAAGGTTCTTCTGAAGGAGCCAGGAGCACTAGACTTGGATAGGTCCGTCTGCTGGCACAGATTTGAATTAGCTTAGTTTTAAGGTAGTAATGCCGTTTATAACCGCACAGACGTCAGCTGTTTCATAGCCCGTCATCGTCTTCATGCAGGAAATGTGCCTCTGGGGATAAGCTGGTGGTGATGCCTGTGAATCAGATTTGCTGTGATAACAAAATTAACAAGATTCTTCACCTGGCAAGCCCCTGTCCCCAGGTGGAGTTGGGCCCTTGGAGTTCCTGGCCTGGGAAGAGGGTCTCCCCACATATATAACGGTGGTCAACGCCCATAAGAAGTGTGAGGACAGTGTCAGATTCTCTCTCACCAAGATGGTTTCAGGCTTCACTCTGCAGATCCCCCTGCCCTTAGCTCTTCATGAAGAAAGTAGTCACCCTCGACAGACACTTGACAGACACTCAGAGGACCACTGGGACCCACGACAGACCCTCAAAGGACCCATAACATCAAAAGCAGTGACCCAAGACAGACCCTTAGGACCCATGACTGACTCTCAAGACCCATGACTGACTCTCAGGACCCATGACGGACCCTCAATGGACCTGTGATGTAGAAACCAATGACCCATGACAGACCCTCAGGACCCGAGACATAGAAAGCAGTGACCCTCGATAGACCTTTAGGACCCTCGACAGACCCTCAGGACACACAACAGACCCTCAGTAGACCCGGGCGGACCCTGGAGGACCTGCGACATAGAAAGTGGTAGCCCTCGGGACTGGGTGCTGGCCTGGAGCAGCAGCTCTCTACTCTCCCCCACCGCTTCAATCCGAGAGGAGTGCCCAGAACCTCCGAGGCAGAGTGGATTTGAGCCAGTGTGGCTGCCCCACTGGGAGGGCCTGGCCTCCCTCACATCGCACAGAGCCTCCTCTAAATGCCAGGCTGTTTCTGTGGACACTGTGGGTGAACACTCATTCGCCTTTAAAAGAGCTGTTGCCCCATTTCACAGACGAGGAAACTGAGCTGAGGGAAACCGAGCAACTGGCCTGGAGTCTCGGGATCCAAAGCCCAGGTGCAGGTGGGGCCCCACGACACCCAGCAGCACAGAGCCTGTTCCCGGTGTCGAGCTCTGTGAGGACAGAGGGAGTCGGCTTTGCCCCTTGTGCTAGATGCCCCGCGACTCTAGTACCCGAAAGGGGAAAGCAGAGGCAAAGGGAAAAGCGTGTGACCAACGGAGGAGGGAGGGGACAGAGGACAGGAGGGAGGGGAGATGCCTGAGGCCAGATAGGAGCCAAACTGGGTCTTCCCTCTTGCTGTCCTCTAAAGAATGCTCAGGCTTTAAATAAACAAGTCAGCCAGAAATGTAGTCAGACCTCAGCATAAGGAACAGGAAAAATATCTTTCCTTCTAGTTGCATTTTTTTGTATATTTTTTGTTCCCGACTGACTTCACCAAACCAAGATTATCCTCCCAAGCAGAGCACCTGGGGCAGCCCCCCACAAACTAGGTGCAGGGTCTTTTTCTCATGACATTAGGATCAGCCAAGAACATGAAAAGTTCTCTTCTTGGCCCCTTCCACACGGCCTAGACAGAGGCACAGTTTCCGGGGCCCTGGGCTGTCCTGGGACATGGAGCAGACCTGCCCTTTATTCTCGCTGTCGGCCACAGCAGGTTCCCCCGGGTCTGTGGGACTCCCAGAAGCACACCCCTAGGCTTCCTAAGCTGAGTCCTGCCTGCCTCACATGCACGTGTGCACGTACTCACACGCTCACACAGAGGCTCCCCGACAAGGCCACGAGGCTGACGAGGGACCAGCTGCTGATTGGGCACTGGGCCTTGGTGGGTCTCCTGGCTGGGGGTCCTCACATCAACCCTGTGGGTGGCAGCTGGTCCTGGAGGCCCCTCCTGCGGTGCTCTGGAGCCTGTGTAATGAGGTGTGAAGGTCACACTGCAGAAAATGAAGTCAGTAGAGGCCTTGTCATTCCCCAAAGCTCCCTTCCTCACAGTGTGCTTGTTTGGTGAATGGGCACATGGGAAAAAATGCAGAGATGTTTTTGTTACCATTTAAAAGAAAATGGAATCGTCTTCAGCACACTCTTTCTGCGTCCTCTTTGCTCCTTCAGCAGGATGTCCCAGGGCCCCACCAGGTCGGCACCTGCTTTCAGGCGGCACACAGCCCCTCGTGTAGCGTGGCGTTCTCCACGTAGCCCGTCCCCCGGTGTGGGGTCTGCTCTGCCCTTTATTTTTCTCTTTTGCCACTGTGGGCATCACTGGACATGTGTCTTATGGACAGGTGTTCTTATTTCTGTCGGATGGAACTCGCCAGTGAGGCTGCCAGGTCCGAGGGTGTCTCCGTCCTCGTGTGCTGCTGTTGCAGACATTTACTTCTCAGTTCTGGAGGCCTGAGACCAAGGCACCACCAGATTCGGGTCTGACTTCTCTGTGTCCTCACGTGGTGGAAGGGGCAAGGGATGTTGCTGGGGTCCCTTTAGAGGGGCACTAATCCCATCGCAAGACTCCACCCCTGTGGCAAGGCTGCACCCACTAACACTCCCACAGCGGGTGGGCTTCAACACATGAATTCTGGCAGCATAAAGAAGCCTCCTACCCACTGCAAAGGGCATGCATATTTTTTTGTTTTGTTTTGTTTTGTTTTGTTTGTTTTGTTTTTGGCATAGACTCTCACTCTGTTGTCCAGGCTGAGTGCAGTGGCATGATCTCGGCTCATTGCAACCTCCACCTCCCAGGTTCAGGCGATTCTCATGTCTCAGCCTCCTGAGTAGCTGGGATCACAGGCAGGCGTCACCACACCCAGCTAATTTTATTTTATTTTATTTGTATTTTTAGTAGAGACGGGGTTTCACTATGTTGGCCAGGCTGGTCTTGAACTCCTGACCTCAAGTGATCCACCCACCTTGGCCTCCCAAAGTGCTGGGATTATAGGTGTGAGCCACCGCACCCAGCTGCCTGTGTATTTGTAAATTGTAGTAAATCTATCTTGCTAGGTTGCCTTCCAAAAGGCTGAGACAGCTGACAGCTGCATGTAGGATCACACCAGAGCCCAAAGACCTGACTGGTTTTGCCGTTTTGCCTGTCTGGTGGTGTTGGCACTGCTTCTGTGGCGCTCATGCACACTCCGGGGCAGGGCACCTGCTGAGAACTGGCATCTTTCCACAAGCTGTTCCGGCCCTCTAAAACACCACATTCATCTGTAATATTGGTATCATAAAAATTAAACGTTTGTCATTTCCATTGTAAATATGTTTCCAAATTCATCATTTGTCAATTGTATTTTTATGGTATTTTTGCCATCCAAAAGCTTTTAAAGTTTATATAACCAAAATTGCCTTCTATCCTTTTAGCGCTTCTTGTTTTCATTTCAGATTTCCCATCTTAGTTAAGAGGTTTCTATTCTGAGATTGTTCATTTGTGTCTTGGTTCATCTGCAATTTACTCCTTGTGTTTAAGACGCGGTCTTTTACCGAGAGACAAAAGAAGGCACATTGCATCCAGATGGGTCACCAACTCCCAGAATCCCACCTCCCAGAGATTTTAAAACTTGATTTATTTCACTTTACTATTCAAATGAGTGGCAATAAGCCACAAATGGACTTACTGTGACTCTCCTGTGTTCATGGCTGTGTTATCATGTGTGTCTTTCCACGTAAGAGGCTCTGTCCTGATGCCCAGGGCAGAACTTGCTGGGATCTGAGTGTCCATTCAGCAGGTGTTGACACACGAGATCCGCGTGCAGGCGCTCGGCTCGCTGTGGTGGCAACGATGGACAATAAGGGTAACTCTCACCTGTGCAGTGCCTCAGAAAATGAAGCACCTACCCTGCTGTTCTTAGGAAAAAGAAAAAGCAGAGGAAGACAAGGCAGATCCAGAGCGCTGGGAAGGTCAGGGGCAGCCTGCAGGGCTCAGTGGCTCTCAGGACCCTGGAGGCCAAATTGAAAGGCCACCATGTGAAAGTATAAGTATATCCACCCATATACACGTATAAGTATGTCTACCCATATATATCTACCCATGTGTAAAAATATATTCACCCATGTATATGTATAGGGATAGCCATCTGCTATATGTATATAGTATATCCACCCATATATATAAGTATATCCACCTACAAATATGTATAGGTGTATCCATCTGATATATGTATCAGATATACCTATATCTGCCTGTACATGTGTATATCTACCTACATATGTCTATAGATATATATGAACATAAATATAGAAATAAGAATGGAAATGAAAATACTATTTTTCAGCACACTTTATATAAGCTTAGTGATTAAAAGTAGCAGTTTCGTGGTTGCTCATGAAGCTGAAATGCCTGGTACATTTAGTTAGATGAAGGTCTGAGAGATTAAAATAGGTTTATTTTATATAATATGTAATTCTTTCCCAGTGAAAATCCTTTTAAAATCTCCTCAGAAAATATTTTATTTGCTAGATTTCTCTTGTTTTCCCGTTTATTTTTTCATGTTTTATTAAGTTACCCAATATTAAAACCAGTTTTTTACAATTGAGGAACTTACATACTTGTCAAAAATTTAAAAGAAAAGTCTGGGGGCCTGGTGTGGGTCCATCGTTTTCTCTTCCCAGGCACAGTTGCTAGTGAGGGCAACTGGCGGGTGCCCCACCCTCTACCTGCACTCATGCTCTGTTCACACAAAGGGACAGAGGCCAGAGTCCTGGGCAGCTGCAGGGCCCCTGCCACCCACACCTCGCCCCTGGGACCTCCTGCTGGCTCTTCTGGTTCTTTGCTGGCTGGCAGGACCACTGCGGGGGTGCTTGTGGGGAAGCACGTCAGAGAAGGGGAAGTGGAGGAGCTGAGGGGAGGGGCCGAGAACAGGAGGACCAGGGAGCTGTGCGGCCTGTCTAAGACCGCCCAGCACTAAGTGAGCTCCTGGCCCGCAACAGTGAGTAAACTCGTCTCAGGGAGGGCTGTTCACCGTTGCCTCTGCAGTGATCTTCCCCTGGAGCCACGGATACAAAGGGCCCGGTGCTACCAGCAGGCATTCCTGGCCAGCACCCTGGCCACTGTGTTAATCACTTTCCTTCCTGATGGCACCGGTGTCTCCTCCTTCCTTGCACAGATACCAAGTGCCCTGTATCCTGCAGCGGCGCTGCCTGCTGGAGCTGTTGTTACCGGATGAGGTCATGCTCTCCTCTGTTTGCGGTTTCCAGGTGGGCTGCAAGCTGAGCCTGGTCTTCCTGCAGTACTGCATCATGGCCAACTTCTTCTGGCTGCTGGTGGAGGGGCTGTACCTCCACACCCTCCTGGTGGCGGTGCTCCCCCCCGGAAGGTGCTTCCTGGCCTACCTCCTGATCGGATGGGGTAAGCGTGCCCCTTCCGACCCACAAAACCTCCATCCCATCCCATCTGACCAAACAACACAATCACTTTCAGCTCAGAAAAACACTTTGCCGCCCCTGTAGAATGCATGTCAGGGTCATATCATGAAGAGCTTTTCTAGGATGACTGGAGGCCCCTACGAACAACACGTTAATATTTCTGGTAACCAGGAACCTAGTTTAAAATACTCCCATTCCTGGCCCCTTTTACCCCAATTCAAACTGGGCTGTTAACAGTGTCCTCCTCCCCGCCTCTACCCAGTTCACCTTTCACTGAGGGTGGGGATCAGAGAGGAGAGGGGTTGAGGCCATACCAGGTAGCGGAAGCCTTGCCTTGCCCAGGGTTGGAAAGGGGTGCAGATTCGGGACATCCTCATGGACAGGATGAGGCAAACGCAGCCGATAGCTCCGCGGGTGGCCGCAAAATCAGTGAACACATCTCCTCCTCCACACGTTCAACTCCGTGGCCTTCAGTCGTAACAATTCCCATGTGGAATGGCAAGTCTCAGATTCTCGGCTCTCAAGCATGTGTTTAATTATCTTCACTGCTTACTAAGGCATGAGCATAAACTTGTAAATATTTACAAAGACTTTAAACAAGAGATTGCACTTAATATTCCCGTGAGAAGGAGTGTCCTTGAGGGTTTTGCTGGTGAAGGCACCCACCTGTGTGCGTGTGCACCGCTCTGATCCACCCGCGTAACCGGGCATCTCTCTGTAGGCCTCCCCACCGTATGCATCGGTGCGTGGACTGCAGCCAGGCTCTACTTAGAAGACACCGGGTGAGTCCATGCCCAGACCGCAACCTCGAAAACGGGCCCAGCAACATCTGGCAACACGAAGTCCTTTGGAAGCCAGGAGGTTACCTGGTTGGAAGGACAGGGAGCATTTGCGGCCAACCGACAGCCACGCAGGAAGCTTCTGGGCGATTCATGGGGAGAAATCCTATGAGGTTGGAGTATTGGAGGAAGCCTCGTGCAGGAGACAGGAAGTGAGCCAGGTTTTGCAGCATAGTTGAGATTGGGATAAACCAGGCAGAGACTGGGGCAGCCCCTTCGGTGGGCACAGCGATGTCCACAGAAGAAAACCAAGTGCCCTGCACGTTGTTTACCTGTAGCAAAGTGGAAGGTCAGGTGATGGTGGCTGCAGGGCCCCCCCAGCACTCCCTAAGCACCGGTCTTGGCTTGTGCGGCCCGGAGCGCTTCTCCCCTGTGCTCACCCTAAGTGAGACCGCAGCCCAGACATGAGCACACGTGGTTCCAGCACAAATATCCTGCCTTTTAAAGGGCCTCAGTGTGCATCGGTTATCCACTGCTAAGTAACAGATCACTCCAAGATTTGGTGATTTAAAACACCCACTGTGTAGTTACGGTGTGATTCTGCACCTGACGACCTGGGAGGACTCAGCAGGGGCACTTCTGGCCTTAAGGACTGGTCCCCCTTGGTCCCCTTCGGCCAGTCTGAGACTGCACCAGCCGGAAGGTTCCTGCATGGACCCAGGCCTGTGATGGAGTTTCTGCTTTATGGGAGGGCTGCAGACTCCCAGTGCAGGGTGTAGACCCTGGGGAGAATCACTGAGGCGTTTAACAAGCCAGGGGTCATAGCTTCCTGCTGGAGACACCCCACACACTGAAAATCAAAATGAAATGCGGCTCACCCACCTCAGTCATTCTAAGGACGTTTTAAACCCTTTGCCATACACATGCAAACCATTTGGGAGGTGAGGGGAAGCTAATTTTCAGGAGGAAGGTTCTTTTCTCCTGATGTCGGCTGAATGAGGCCGACACACGCTTTCATGCTCAGAGTGGAGGGTGTCAGCAGCCGTCCTGCCCTTGTCCCGGCTTCTGGGGCCGCACCTCCATTCCTCCTCCCCACAAGCCGACTTGTTTTGAGAAGCATAAAACGAAACACAGTCACTCGCTGGGACAGATTCCTTTACGATCTGTCAGTGCAGAGAAATTGTGCTTCCACAGTAAGGGGAGCAGGCAGGTTGGGAGGGGCAGACAGCCCCACTGGCAGGCACAGGCACGAGGCAGGCGCTCATTCTCCTGTGCCCGTCTTGCGAAAGTGGTCGGTGGTAACCTGATTTCCCGTCTCTCTCCAACAGTTGCTGGGATACAAACGACCACAGTGTGCCCTGGTGGGTCATACGAATACCGATTTTAATTTCCATCATTGTAAGTCGCCCCTGTGGAAGCGTGAATTACCTGTGGAGTCACACACTTGGGCAGACAGCAGGCCTGCCATCCTTTATTAAACAGAAATGACCCCATTCCACTCATCCACTCAGCCTTCCCGGAAAAGAGCCCCTTCAGGCGTGTGGACCCCACAGGCGGTTCCCAGGGAAGGAGGGAGGGACTGAGGGAGTGGAGGGGAGGGTCGAAATCAGGTGGACTTCAGGGCAAATCGGGGATCCATGTACCGTTTCACGAACTTATTGTCTCTTTCGTGCAGGTCAATTTTGTCCTTTTCATTAGTATTATACGAATTTTGCTGCAGAAGTTAACATCCCCGGATGTCGGCGGCAACGACCAGTCTCAGTACAAGTGAGTGTGTGTCCCGGCCTGGCCGTCCCTCGTGGGGATGCTGTATGGAGACAGGAAACCCTGCGCTGCCAGGAAGGCCCTGGAGGTGCGGCGACTCGGGTCAGGCCTCGAGGCTGGACCCCAGGGCTCTGTTCCTGCCCAAAGCTCAGAGAGGCACTGGACAGCATTTTCCTGGCTAAGTAACAAATCACTCCAAAATTTGGTGGTTTAAAACACCCACCGTCTAGATAGGGTGTGATTCTGCACCCGACGACCTGGGAGGACTCAGCCGGGGCACTTCTGGCCTTGGCGACTGTGAAAGTCAGGCAACATTTCTTTTATTTGAAGGCCAGAAGAAAGTCCTCTTCAGTGCGCTTGCTTGTTTAAGCATCTGCCCACTTGCATGTTATACAGCCTGTCTTTTTCTCCTTGGCCACACATTATTTTTATTTTACATTTAATTCTGTCCCCCCTCAGACCGCATGGTCCATGGCCGTGTGTCTACTGCCAGCCCTAATAGCAGGCCTTGTACTTAGTAACAATTCAGAAAGCGTTCCCTGCCCGTGTGATTACATGAAGATGGCATCGTGACCTCCCTTCAGGAGGTGAAGACAGGACAGACGTTCAGCCAGTCACCCCCAGTCATCCAGCTAATTCATGATGATCCAGGGAATCTATAGAGTAATGCAAAGACTCCATAAATTTATATCAAGAATTTATTTTTTTTTAAAAAAAGGTAAAAACTAAAATTCAAGTATAAACTAAACACTGACTTGGTGTGGAAATGGTTGGCCCAGCCCAGAAGGCACCTCGGGCTCAGACTGGCCGGGATGGAAGGGCGCAGGAACCCCACCACCCGGCCTAGGAGGGTGCCTGGCCTGCATTTCCCTTTTCTCCCACCTTAGAAAACAGGGGTGGATTTGGGGAGGGGTGGTTAGACAGGAGCATGGCCAAGAGCCCCAAAGCTGGGTGCAGATACCAGCCGGTGCCCTGAGGGAAGTCACTTTGCCACTCCATGCCTCAGCTTCCTCATCTGTAGGATGGAAGTAATAATGTCACTAAGGTTAGGAGGATCAATGCAGTCTATATTTGCAGGATATTTGCTGCCTGGCACCAGAGTATTGCAAAAGAGTCTGGTAAACCAGAGAATCTAATTCTGCCGTGTGGTATCTAAATCCAGGGAGTATCCGACTCTGCCTGCCCACATTGAGGGATGGGATCCCACGTCAGACCCCGCATGGCAGCATGACCTTGTCCCTGCTCAGGGGAGGCTGGTGGTGTCTGCGTGGCAGAGACCCCAGAATAAGTCGTTCTTGGTTGCCCTTCAGGTTGGACTTGGATTTCCTGTGAATCTTGTTTAGCATCTTTGCTGACCTTTGCATTGGTTCTTGGGGAGTGTTTGTTAAATAGGACTCGGAGATGGATGCTTTTATTTTGGAAACAAAATTAAGTGAGGACAATAACATCGGTTCGCTTTCCAGGACAACAGAAAAGGCCAAGACACCCTTGAGGCCACACGAGGTCCTTTCTGTGTAACTCTCTGGTCACAGAAGTAGCAAAACCTCCCTGGACAGGGGCCAGGAGCTCAGCCACGGGGAGGCCTCCTTTCCAGCGAACTTCAGATGCATTAATAGAGGGAATGAGGTGGGTCCCTGCCGCTGACTGAGGGGCCTGGCTCCCACAGAGCCCAGCTGTTGTGAGCTGCTGGTCCGGGAGCAGGAGGGGCCTCATCATTTAAACGTGCACGTGGCCACGGTGGAGGCCAGCCTTCTTGTCCCGTGCCTGCCTCAGGATGGGCTGGGCTCCCAGGCAGGGCCTGTGCAGGTTTTGGGTCACTCACAGGGAATCTTGCCCCTGCCAGCCAGGAACCCCAGAACACAGCGTGTGTCCTTGTGAGGGAATTTGGGAGAAACAGACACTTTGTGGAATGCACGTTCCCGGGCCCTGAGTGCCGGATCTGCACAGGGGCCTCAGACATACACGTAAAGAAGCAGTGGATTTTCTTGTTAGGTGGCGATTCCAGTGGTGGAGAGGGAGTGTGGAGCCCCTCCCACACCCAGCTGCCTGGTCCTGAGAAAGACCCTGCCAGGCGTGCAGCGGGTTCGCGGGTCCCGCAGCTGAGCTGGCTTCTCTCCTTCCGTGCAGGAGGCTGGCCAAGTCCACGCTCCTGCTCATCCCGCTGTTTGGCGTCCACTACATGGTGTTTGCCGTGTTTCCCATCAGCATCTCCTCCAAATACCAGATACTGTTTGAACTGTGCCTTGGGTCGTTCCAGGTAGGTATGCAGAGGCGGCCGCCCTCCCCCAAGCGTGGGTCCTGCCTGACCTTCCCTTCTCATTGCAGGGCCTGGTGGTGGCCGTCCTCTACTGTTTCCTGAACAGTGAGGTAAGTTCATGGCCGCCTCGGAACCATGTGCAGGTGCTCAGTTGGTTCCTGAAATGCTGCCCAGCCTGGTGCCGTGGCCCCCACACGCGCCTGTGTTCTGTGGGCTGGACTCACTGCCCAGGCCCCCACAGTTCTCTGTGTGCCCATCAGAGAACCCACAATGACACAGGCAAACCCACTCTTCTGGGCCCGGCTTCCAAACCCTTCCCTCTGTGCACCCCAAGTAGCGTCGACTGGCATCCCTCTCAGAGCCCTCTTGGGAAAGCTCCCAGCCGGGTCTAGACAGAATCCGTTTTTCCCCATGGACAGCGGCTTGCTCCTGACCATAGCTTGTGAGTCCCAGAAAGCCCGGCCTGGGTTGGGGGGTGGGGCTGCAGAGCATTCTGTGAGTCCCTGGGGACGAAGCCAGGAACCGAGCTCTGCCCTGCGTTCATCCTCAGCCAGGGGTGCTGTCTCTGGGCTGCTCCAGCGGCCTCACCCCGTCCCCTGACCCCTGACCCTCCCGCCCCACCCTGCGGTCGCTGACGCTTTCTTTGCTTGACATGCAACTTTCACCAGCACGGCTTCTGCAAAGCTGAGCCTGTATGGTGCCGCTTGTCCTTCTCCCTCCTCTGCTTTCCGGGCACCCCTCACTCATCCCCACCCCCTCCCAGGGCTAACATTCCCTACCCGCTGGGAACAGGGAAGGGGATGGAGGCCCAGCACTGTCACATCCTCGGCTGCTAAGGAAAATCTTTCCAGAAAAAAACAAATTAACTATCTCAGACTGTGGGACAGCGCTTGCCGTAGCAGTGGGGACGCCTGAACCACCCATGCACAGCCTTAGCGTGGCTGCGTCCCCGCCCTCGCTCCCTCCAGCCTCTTCCCCGAAGCCGTTTCTGTTTCTGTCCATCTGATGGGAACACAGATGTCGCCCCACCCTCCACACGGGAGCAGGCGGGAGGGAGAGCTGGAGGCTCCGTGGCTCCCAGAGCACCCGCACGCCCCTGCCCAGGCTCAGGCGTTCCCGGTGCCCTCACCTCCCCAGGTGCAGTGCGAGCTGAAGCGAAAATGGCGAAGCCGGTGCCCGACGCCGTCCACGAGCCGGGATTACAGGGTCTGCGGCTCCTCCATCTCCCGCAACGGCTCGGAGGGCGCCCTGCAGTTCCACCGCGGCTCCCGCGCCCAGTCCTTCCTGCAGACGGAGACCTCGGTCATCTAGCCCCGCCTTGCCCATCGGGGGCTTCCTCCTTCCAGAAGCCCGAGCACCCCGGCGGGCGGGCCAGCGCGGCCCTGGCGCATCGAGCTTGTCCACTAAGCCGCACACCTGGAACGGGGGTCGTGTTGTCACTGACTCGATGTAAACTCCAGCATTTAGATAATCTTGTTCAAAATGTGTTTCGGCCTAATAGTGGATCCTTTTTTTTTTTTTTTTTTTTTTTTTTGAGACAGCCTCACTCTGTCGCCCAGGCTGGAGGGTAGTGGCCGGATCTCGGCTCACTGGAACCTCCGCCTCCGGGGTTCACGCCATTCTCCTGCCTCAGCCTCCCGAGTAGCTGGGACTGCGGGCGCCGCCACCACACCCGGCTAATTGTTTTGTAGTTTTGGTAGAGAGGGGGTTTCACTGTGTTAGCCAGGATGGTCTCGATCTCCTGACCTCGTGATCCACCTGCCTCGGCCTCCCAAAGTGCTAGGATTACAGGCGTGAGCCACCGCGCCCGGCCCAAGAGAATAGGGGAGCCAAGGAGCAAATGTGGAAATGGCAGTTGTGTGGTCCAGCACGGGCCTGGGCGCCCACCGGGTGCCGTCTGTCCCACATCAGGGCAGCCTCCCAGGTCCCGTAAGGGCAGCCCCCTCATCTGCAGGACAGAGGGAAGCCACTCAGGGCCCCCCTGACGTTAGGACCAGGAGAAATCAACAGGAGGGCAGCCCTCCTCCCTCCAGGGGCCCCCACCTGCCCAAGCCCTGCCCCACCCAACTTTTTCCACAGGGCTGTTCTGCCTCCCCAAGGAAGGTGGGCTGAGGAGACCACCAGATCAGGAGAGCAAGGTCATGCAGGAGGGGGCGTCTCCACACAGGTGTTCGTGGGACCCTCAGCAGCCCTGGCTCTGCCTCAGGAGGTCACCTGCCGCCCTGTGGGAGCCACAGAGCCCGACGCTCAGCCCCAGGCTAGCTGCAGCCAGGCCTGCAGGTCCCTGGTGATGGCGTTACGTGGGGCGCAGGATACAGCTGGGTGGGAACTGGAAACCTCTTTTTAACAAAAATAATCTTAGAATCATTTCTGTCCAAATGGAGAATTATTTTAACAACATATAAAACTGTTTCAAGCCCTCCTCCCCAGAGCTGGCGCTCAGCAGCCCTAGCGGCTGTTCCTTCAGGCGAAGGGTTATTTGCAGACGTGGGGAGGGTGTCTGGGGACGTTGCTGAGCTGGCTGCAGAAGGGTGGGGACATCAGGGCGCAGTCTCCACGCCTGTGCCAAACCCTGGTCCCCACAGCGCTCGACGGACCTCAGCAGGCTGCCCAGCCCTGGCCCAGGTGCCTCGACTGCAGGACTCAGTTGTTCTGAGTGCATTTGACTCCGCTTTTCCCTTCAAAATGAACGTCTTGTTTCTGTGCATTGGTGGCATCACAGACCCCAGCTGGAGCACGGTGCCAAAGGCCAGGAAAGCCATGCCAGGAGGCAGCCACAGGGTAGCTCACACATCCTGTCAGCATCACCTTGGTTTGCAAAACCCACGTCCCCAGTAAAATGAGGCCAGACAGAGGGGCTGTTAGGACGGCAAAGCAGCAGTGTCCAGAGACCCCTCAATCCCCAACGGTCTGCAGCCTGTCCTGCACGCCCTGCCAGCCACGCCCCATCCTGCACCCCCTGGGCCACGCTGGCCACACTTCTCTGCTGCAGCAAGCTCATCCCTGGACTTCTGGGAGAATGAACCCGAGGTTGGTTTGGAGACGCAGGTGAGGTGGTCAGAGGATCTAGAGAACAACTCACCCACCATTTCTGGGGGCCGCAAAGGTTCCATCAGAGACTGATGCTGGGGAGCAAGTGACCCAGGCCAGGTGCCCAGGAAAGGACGGCTGAGTGTGTGGAGTACAGCAAGAGGGAGGCAGGTGGACGCAGGAGACCCCAGGTTCAGTGCAGCCCCTCAGCTGCTCCTCCCCTGTAGAGTTTGGACAGACCCACCCCCAGCCTTGCCTGGCTTTAAAAGGACAAAAGGGAGCATCCCCCACCCACTCTCAGGGTTTTGAGGAAACAAAGATTTGTGGTAACTGAAGGTGTTGGGTCAGTGGCCAGGTGCAGACACTGAGTGGTGACCCAGAGGGGACATTGAGGAAGTGGGCGGCAGCGGTCGTGTCAGCTGGTTACCAGGCACTGGTTGTGTGGTTGACAGTCGGTGGTTGGGTGTGGGAGGTCATCAGTCATCAGGTGTGCCCGGGGACGTTCTCCCCTCAGCTGCACATGTGCCAGTGTCCAGCGGAGCCGAGGACTGGTTCCTCCTGCCTGGATCAGGTGTGCCCAGGGGATGCACTCCCCTCAGCCACGTGTGTGCCACTGTTCAGCGGAGCCGAGGACGTAGAGGGGCAAGCTCCCAGCTGTTTCTAACAGATGCCTGGTGAGCAGGGGACGTAGGACCCCGAGGTCAGCAGTTGTCTTTAACTGTCATTGTGTGTGGAATGTCCTCCATGTGGCAGGAATGAGCTGTGTAAATACTTCAATAAAACCTGACTTCACATCTGCACGCTGAGTAAGAATTTGCTCTGACGAGACCTGAGGCCCTGGAGCATGGAGGACACGCTTGGCGTGTTAGCTGTGGCTGCTGCGTTCAAATGAAAACAGAGCTTGGATGGGGAAGGAGAGGGTCCCGCCAGCCACAGGGCACCAGGGAGGACGTTGGAAACAGCCACTCCTCCCTGAAGACAGTCCCCTGTCAGAGGGTCACCGCTGGGGAGCCTCCGTCTGGCAGCTGTGACGTGTGAGCAGTGCCCTGGGGAGGAGGCGCCTGCACACCCAGCCTTGTCCTGCCGCACCCAACACGGCCTCTGTCAGCTCTGCAGAGCCCAAGAACCTGTTAATAGAGCAGGATTGCATGCAGGAGTGTGTGTTCACATGCCGCACACGCGTGTGTGGGTGTGTGCGTGGGGGGGGTGGGTGTGCACACGTGTGTGTGCCTGCATGTGCACATATATGCGAATCTCTGTGTGTGCTGCGCCTTAGCCACATTTATGCTACAAGCAAATAAAATATATTTCTAATGAACTCCACGCTCCACCAAATGGCTGTTGTCGGGTGGGATAGAGCACCCTGGTAAAAGCCACATTCCCAAATAGTCAAACTTAGAATGAGCCAGACCAACCAGCCGCTGGTGACTTTCCTAAGAGCAAAGCAGGTGGGAAGGGGGAAAGGGGCTGGGCACACAGCCCTCCAGGGAGTCATTGTTTTATCTGACTCAGGAGCTTAGTGTCCGTTTGCCTGAGGTAGGAAATATTCAGCCGCTGAGGAGACTCAGCCCTGACCGGAGGCAGAAGGTGCAGGGCCAGGGGCCACTCTGAAGACGCCCCTCCTCCATGGCAGTAGGTTCATTCTTTCTCATCACCAATGGCAGCTTTTTAATTGGCTGTTTTTTTCAGGCTTTCCGATGACAGAAAATATACAGGAAAATTATAAAACATCAAACTCTGTGGGCAAAGACTACATAGAAAGTGAAGTCCTCTGCCTGCCTCCTCCACTCTCTGGGGGAGACTCGTGCCCGACTGAAGCAGGGTCTCAGTGCCTTCCTCCGTCAGTGCAAACCTGTCTGCCTCCTGCTCCTTCCTCCGTCGGTGCAAACCTGTCTGCCTCCTGCTCTTTCTTCTGTTTATTTGTGGGAATCGGGCTACATTGTGTGAAGCTTCTGCAGCTGTCTTTCTCCTGCTGAGACAGGTCGTGTCCATCTTTCCCATCGGAAGGTGCGCACCTCATGCTTTTTACTGCTGCGTAACATTCCACAGCCTGGGCCTGGTTGGTTTGACCGATTCCCTGCTGGCGAATGTGTGAGTTATTTTTGCAGGTGTTTCTGTGTTTACCCGAGTATTCCCTCACTGTACGCTCCTGAAGGGGAAAGGTTAAAGGGCACGCACGTTTGGCTCTCAAAGGGTGTTTGCTGTACGGCTCCGCCACCCCTCACCAAGCATCCTGCCCTGGGTGTGTGGGAAACTCCTCCATTTGCATGTCTTGAATAGTTTCTTCACAGGTTTTTTCTTTAACTCTGATGGAAAGCTGAACCTCTGCCTGACACACTCACATCGCAGCTGCTGTGTCTCCAGGGGCCCCGCACGCATGTCCGCGTGCCAGTCCACAAAGTCACTCCCGTTCTCGGGACCCAGGATGAGGACAGGAGTCAGCCTCTTATCTGCAGGCATCAGCGGCCAGCGGCGTTGCTTTGTGTCAGCGCACACTGCTTGTGGGCAGGCATCACAAAGGATTTAGGGCGCCTTTTATACTGAAAAGTCTTCTTTGGAAGATGGAGAGAAAAGGGGCTGTCAGCTCCTTTGTGTTCTCTGAAGGTTTAATGAGGAGAAAGGTGCAGGCTGCGAGGACAGCGGGGGGCCCACGTGTTCCACTTGTGGAAACAGTCCCTTCCCAGGACACCCTGCAGGCCCCGTGAAGCGGGCGCCCCAGGGCTATTACCGAGATCTTTTGTAAATCTTCTATTCAGTACCTGGAACTGAAGAAGCAATAGGAAAAATAAACTATCAAAATATAATACAAAATAATGAGACCTGGTGGGACCAAGCTCTCCCTTTGAGACTCAGGGTTCTACGTAGCCTCATGCATGAAGGTTCCATGAATAAAGTCGAGGAAAGCCACACAGGAATTCGGCGCACCTCAGAACCACAAGCTGTCATGGTTTAAGTCCTAGGACTGTGAATCCAGATGTTAAATGTGTGACTTTCAAATCATTAAATCATGACTGTTCTTTCAGATTTAAAAGCACGCGATATCATGAAGCTCCACTGTCCCATGACTCAGTTGTGCAGATTTTCGCAGGCTTGGATGGATGATGCTCTCTCAAACCCGTCGGCATGCAGTGGAGACCTGAGCGTCCAGTCCTACCTCTGGAGAAGCTGGAGACACCGCCATAGGCTCTGTGCCTCCAGTTTCCGTTTAGAATTAGTATTGTATAATTATTAGGAAGAGTCCGAGGGACGGGGATAAGAAGGAAGCCGTGAGAGGACAGGGACTTCCCTTGTCAGGGGTGACAAGGGCCGGGTTCAGTACAACAGGAGGGAGCAGCAAGGAGCTCCAAGCAAGAGAGCAGAGGGCAAAGGGGAAGGTCACCAGGAGCGTCCAGGACCTGGGCACGGCCTCCAAGCTGTGCAGAAAACACAGGGAAGGGGTTGGACTTGAAATCACTCTTGATGTGTTCA